CTATGAACCAGAGACACACGGTGGGGGGGAGGGGTGGGGAAAGGCGGGATTGGGGTCAAAATAAGGGGGTTGCAATTGTATGGGGAATATAAAATTAAAAAAAAATATATTAAAAAAAAGAAAAGAGAAAAAAAATTCTCTCAAGATTCTTTTTTAACTCATAGGTTACTTAGCAGTATGTTGCTTAACATCCAAGTATTTTGAATTTTACAGCTTTCTTTCTATTATTGACTTCTAGTTTAATTCCATGTGGCTTGAAATCAGACATATGATTTTTGCTTTTTATATATTTTAGGTGTGCAGTGGCCAAAAATGTGGTTTATCTTGGTGAATATTCTATACAAAATTGAAGAAGATTGTGCAATCTGCTGTTGCTGGATGAAGCAGTATATAGATATTAATTATATCCAATTTATTGATGGTGTTTTTGAGCTTAAATATGTCCTTATTGCTTTTCTGCTTGCTGGATCCATCCAGTTATGATAGAAGGGTATTAAAAAGTCTCCAACTGTAATCGTGGATTTGTCTATTTCTCCTTACATTTCTACAACTGTTTTTGATGTTCTTAAGTCCATTTTGTCTGAAATTAATATAGCTCTCATGTTCTTTCTCTTTATCGGTGAACAGAAGAATTCATAAATAGCACATTTTATCAACTCCATAGGAAAAACTATTTTCCTTTCTTTTTTAAATTTGCTTTTAATTTTATCAGTTGTTTGATGGTCTTTTTATGAGGTTATATTTGACATATAACCTATTACTTTCAGTTATATAACATAATGATTGGATAATATGCTATATTGCAAGATGATTATTTCCACAATAAGTTTAATTAACATCTGCTACTGCATACAATTACAAAAAATTTTCTTGTGATTTGTGAACTTTTAAGATATACTTCTAAGCAACTTTCAAATACGTAATACAGTATTATTAACTGGATCACCACACGTGACATTTATAACTGGAAATTTGTATCCTTTGATCCCCTTCACTCTTTTTCCCCACTCACAAACCTCACCCATATCCACTTTTGCCTTTGGCAATCACCAATTTGTTTTATGTATCTGTGAGCTCCTTATTTTGTTTTAAGACTCCACGTATAAGTAAGATCTTTTTTCTTTTTATTAATGTTAGCATGTATATTTTTTTCGATTATTTTACTTTTAATCTGTACATGTATTTATATTCTAAGGAGTTTCCTTATAGACAATATATACTTGGGTCTTCCTTTTTCACCTATGAGACAATCTCTGCTTTTTAATTGGTATATTTAGACCACTGACATTCAAAGTGATTATTGATACAGCTGGTCTAACAATTGCCATAATTGTTATGACTTTTGATTTGTTGCTTATACCTATTGTTTTGTTTTTTATACCTATCTTTGTCTTTCACACTTCTTCTACCTTTTGTTATTTTTATTGACTACCATTTTGTTCTTTTATTAGCCCATTTAAAAATTTCCCTCTCCTTTAGTTTATGTTAGTAATTTATAACTATCTGGAAAAATATACATTTCATCAAGATTTTTAAATTCTTTCCTTTCTAGCATTTTGTTGCCTTTCTCTCTTTTTCCATTAAACTGTAAGTAGAAGAGCAAAGGTTTTTTCTGCTTTTTAAGTCTTTTCAATTTATGTCCTTTGGTTTTATTGTTAAAATCTTTCTATGGTTTTTATAGTTGAAAAGTATTGTTGCTTTCATGTTTATTATGTCTTTTCTTCAATATTTATTTACTTATTTTATTCCTAGTTTTAGAAGGTGAATGCTTTTAAGCAACTTAATTTCACATAAGATTGTCTATTCTGATGACACATTGCTGCCCTCACCAATATAAGTCCTATATCATTTTTCTGCCACCAGGTGGCTGGCTAGTGATACTAAGGTATGGTGAACATATCAGGGCTCAATCTACTGTTGGCACACTGGGCATTGCACAGTGGCAGGGCCCAGATCTTATCTATAACTACCATCCCTACCACCACACTTTACATGAGTTCAGTGAGCAATCACCAGAGTGGTCAGAGAAAGTGGCTGCTAACTGATATCCATGGAAAGGGTTTAATTTATCCTTTGCCCACTGATTATTAAAAGAATTCTTAGATGCGAGGGCCCCAGGTGAGCATGCATGAGGCACACATATTGTCACATTCTGGGTCAAAGTTAGGCCATTGGGAGGCCATCAGGTGTGGGTGATAAGGGGGTATATTATTTGCAGAGAATTTAAATGTAATAATAAAACCAACCATAAATTAGTCTTGTCTTTATTAGCACTACATGCTGACAAAGCTAAACAATGTCAGTGGTTCAATACTCCTCTTTAAGGAATCTTTTGTTTGTCTACATTCTAAGTAATTTCTTATACCTAGGGCAGACCACTCCTACCACCCACCCTTGGTATGACAAAGGTTTCTATCCAGTTGCCCTATCCCTATACCTTCTTATTGCCAATCCCCCATTCTTACACTTTTCCAGTCTATGACATTCAGACAACCATTAGTCACTGCCTGTGAAACAAATTAGACTCATAATACAGGATCTCTCTCTCTCTAGGAAATGGGAACAAAACAATACACCACTGATAATTCTGCTCACAGGGAGTATTTTTCTTCATCACTGTCCTATTATTATACCCAATTAAGGTTAGTAAGTACAGCAGTATACATATAGTACAGATTCACCCAACTATCAGGTTTAGTGTTTTATATCCTTGGCTGGTCAGAGGGTACCCCTTCCACCCATGAAGCTATATTAATGAGATGAAGGAGATATGGCTAGGCATCAAAGAAACACCAAGAATATGCACCACCTGCTCACACAGTTTAGTGCTACCTTTAGATCTGCTTCAGTTCAGTCTCATGTGTCCTACTTAGCTTATTGAAGAAATGCTTCTGGGTATATCTAACTTTATGACTTGATAGATAATACCTACTTCTTAGCAAATTATGTAGATCCCACATCTAGGATAGAAGCTAACTGAAGTTACTACCTGACTACTTGTTCAGTCATCCACTGACATTCTCAAAATGATCTGCTGTCTTCACAGGTCAATTTGAACAGTTACACGGGAATAGGAGTAACCATGTAACTGTCCAAATTGATGCTGTCCTGACCTCTGGGTCTGAGACTCCCTTCTCTGTGATTTTGGGAGACAGTAACTTGGGACACAAAGGTTTACAAGTTCCCACCCAAGTCTGGCTTCTTTTTCACCTGGAAGAATGGAAAACACAGAATTAGTTAATGGACATCTGCTCCCACTATTTGGCTTTAGATACTGTATTTCCTAATTGCTTTTTTTTCTAATCGAAAGCAGCCTTCCCTCATTAGGTAGAGCAGGGAGAGGCCCTGTTAGTTCTTGCTTACGAGATTTGGTGACCCAGCGTGTTTGCTGCATCTGGGTATCACCTACGCCATAAGCTTGAGATGTGTTTGACATGTTTAATTTCATTGATTAGGCCATAAAGAGTATTCACACTGTTCTGGAATTCTGTATACATGTCAACATGAGAGATTATTAGAACAAATTATTATATTGCACAACCTTTTAAGGTTAAATGCATATTACACACAAATATTTTGTAGGAATATGTGTTGATTGTATGCCCTTAATATCAAAATATAAAATATTAAATATAAGGAAAATGCTTTTGGAATAATCATTGTTTCTTTTTGGAGTGTGGTTGGAAAGAAAAGTAGAAAGATAAGAAAAATATTTTAGCTTAATTAAGTATGCAAATAAAGGATATTTTTATTTAATTTAGATACTGAAATTAATATTAATGTATATAAGTATCTCTTGATACACTTTTTTATTTACCATCAGGCTTCAAATTTTCATGGAAATTTAGATTTATGAGAAAAAGTTAATTCCAGATGACATTATAGAAGGATTCATGATAGCTCCTGGCCCAAGGTCACATACAGGCAATTAATCTCCCTGGGTCTTGGGTTCCTCACCAAAAAATGTTGAACCAAGAAGTTTCTAAATAACCTGCTCACCCCCAAATTCCATGATTCTATGTATTTGGAAGGAAATGATTCATTGTTCTATAGGTCATATGTCTTTCTGAGGAATGTATGGAGTTAGTTAAAAAAAAAATCTCAAGATATAAATATGGACATTTTGTGAACTGCCAATAATCAATCAATTATTTATCTGCAAATACTCTACAAATAGCTTATTCATTTAGTTTGCTCTCCAAGGGCTTCAATTTAAGAACAAGTAATTATTCTATTTGTACTTAGGATGTCAGGGTTTGGGAGGAAACTTTCATAATTTTTTTTTCAACATTGAAAAGAATAAGGACAAGTTTGGAAAATTGGAGAAATTTGGACTTTGAATCACTGATAGAAAAACCTCAGTTTAGTAAAGTATGAGATTATGTCTAATATGGCCTACTTATTTTCTTCTGCTGCTTTAATGTAGCACAGTTATTTTATTTTATTATTTTTTTTAAATAATAAATTTTATTTTTATATTCCCCCATACAATTGCAAACACCCCATTCTGACCCCAATCCCTCCCCTCCCGCCTCCCACCCCCCAAAAAGTGTCTCTGGTTCATAGTTTTTTGTTGATTTTGATTTTCACTTTCTTATATTTATTCATTTTCCTGGTCCCTTATTTAAGTTTTCTAGATTCCTGCTATGAGTGAGACCATCCGGTATTTTTCTTTTTCTTTTTGGCTTATTTCGCTGAGCATGATCCCTTCCAGCGCCATCCATGTTGCTGCAAATTGCATGTGTTTATCTTTTTTGAATGCTGAGTAATATTCCATGGTATATATGTACCACATCTTCTTGATCCAGTCATCTATTTTTGGGCATTTGGGCTGTTTCCAAAGCTTAGCTATTATAAATAGTAGCACAGTTATTTTAAATACTAAACTCAATGATTACTTATTCATAGATTTCCTTCCTCTCTATGATGCTAGTGTATTTCAAAAATGACATCTACATGCTTTATGACCCAATCTGACATTTTAGACCCAATCTGAAACACAACAGCAAAATGCAGTGAAAGAGTGCCAGGTAAGGCCAGGTAGACCTAGATTATACACTGCACTCTGTGACTTTGAACAATGGATTAATCATGGTTTCAAAGAAACCAAGACTCTTCCTCCTTGGGAGCAGAATCAGAGGGAGGAGCACAGGGGACTGAGGTAATGGTGCACAGGTGCGCTGGGGAAGAAATTCTATGGGGACTACATCTGAGGAGGTGGGGGGAAGCGAATATTGTTTAAAAATGACAATGATGTAAAAAAATTAATAAAAAAAACAAACAAAAAAATGAAAGCAAAAACAAAAAAATAAAATAAAACTTAGCTAATTAAATTTAAAAAGTCTTCCTCCTTTAAGAGTCTGTGGTTCACAGTACCATTGCTTAGAATCTTATCAAGACTCTAAGTCATCCCTGATCTAATTCTAATATAACTGATTCACAATTGGAATTTCTTGCTTTCATGATAATAAGGATCAACAAAGCCATCAGCCCCAATCCCTTCTGGTTTTTGAGTATTCCATTATAATATACAGGAACCAAATCTAGAAACATCAAGTCTCACAATATGAAAAAAGGAGAGAGAATTAGACAGGAAGTCCAAGAACAGATTTCACACCCAGGGATAAAGAAGGGTAACTGGCATATTAGTGAAGATTCTTTATTGCTGGCGGCATTAGCCTAACTCAAATAAATGTAGGCAAATTAAGGAAATCTACTAGCTCTCATAAATATAAGGCGCAAGAGATTAATCTCACTTCAGGCATATCTGGATCAAGGATTATAAATGACAATATCGGGACTGTCTCATCCCTTGTTCTTCCACAGGTTCCTTCCATCTTACTGACAAGATGACAGCTAAAAGCTGAAAATTCAAATTCTATATAAGCTTAATAATGTCAAGAGAGAGAAACATGCTTTGTTTTCCCAAATAACTCCAGGAGAAAGTCTCAGAAAAGCATAATTTGTGGGTTGGAACTGATCATGTACCCATGTCTGCACCAGTCAGTGTGGCTTGTAGGATGGGCTCTTCAATATTTGGGGCCACCCTAAGCAATGTTTCCACTTCTATGACTGGGGTTTGGAGCATAGTCAAACCTATGAAACCCACATGGAAAAGGTAAGTCACAGGAAAGAATTTATAGGAATGATCCTAGCTGGCAGTGGTTCTTAACTAAGAATGTACATCAGACCCATTTAAGCACTTATTTTAAAACATACATGCCTAGAGTCTACCTCCATACTTTCTAATCCAATAGGTCTTAGTGAGGATCTAGAAAAGTGAATGATTATTGAATATGAAAGGTATACATTTTTATAGTACAAACAAAACAGGTCAAAGGGGTATAACGTGAAAAGTATAAAAATCCCTTCTCAAGGGAATGATTAAGGCAAGGAATAGGGGAAAGGGGAAATTTTCCTTTGTCCTATATAAATATCTATTTTGAATTTTTTTACAATAAGCCTGAATTTATTTTCTTTTCATTTTACAGTGAGCCTGATATTCTAAAACATTTATTTCAGCCAGTGCCTATTATGTCCTTCCCACCAAGTTTGTCTTCACTGAGACTATTTTGGTCATGAGCAACAAAAATAGAATAAAATACATTTAAAAGTATTTTTGAGTCAACACAGGCTATTCTTATTCCCGTAAGGGGACCCTGTTGACAGTTCATATATTCTTTAAGGAGCTTTCTAGGCATATAATCACAAAGATTTTGGATAAAGAGTCCATCAGTATGTCTTTCCTTTTATTATTATTTTCAACACAGAGGGAATTACCACAATAAATATAAATAGTATGTATAAAAAATACACATCCTTTTCTGTATTTTGCTTTTCTCACTTTATGTTGGCCTCCTTCCCATAGGATCTATCAATATGTATATAAATTTTACCTCATCATAATGGCTTCGTATTATTCAAAAAAATCTCCCGCTTATTAAGGCTTTAGCAAATATTATTTTAAATATATATTTGTGCATGTGTGAGTACAGCTGTGGAATATATTCCTACTTAAGTCAGATGACCACATATGTGCATTTAAAAATTTGATGGACACTATTAAATTTCCCTCCAAAACAGTTTTAACAATGTACGTATCTACCCACACTGTACGTGAATATCTGTCGTCTGTACTTAGGTGACAAATATATGACAAATATACTTCAAACAAAGCTTCTTGGATACTCCTGAAATACACCCCGGATCAAGAAACACTAGATTTGAAGGTTGTTTCTTTAAAAACACACCCCCCCATTTGTTTATAGAGTTGTTCGAAAATCCTAAGATACCTGCTAGAATAAGAAACCATATGCAGAATGACCTAAGTTTTAAGTTCAAAAGGATCAAACCCTCTTGAATCTCTTTATGTCACATACCTGATATTGAAAGCTGGGAGTATGTAAGAGTTTGGATGAAGAGTCTAAGACCTTGCTTGGATCACCTGCAACAGAATTTCTGGTTGTGGAAACCAGAGAACTATGAATTCAGCAATTACAGGATGGGTGCTCCCTTTATCTGGACTGCTCAGAGATGGCACAAACAAGGCTTAGCACATTCACAGGGATGAAACACTTAGAACTTTCTGTGGAAGAGATTTCCAAAAGAATAATGTGCAACCCACGGTAGTTTGCACACGTGCATGCCCACATACACACACACACACACACACACACACACACACATATCAGATCTAGACATTTTGTGATAAGACCTAATGTTGTGCGTTCTTTGCTTTGAGGGAGATTTAGCAACTGATGAAGGGAAATGAAAACTTTCTCAAGTTTGTGTTACGATACTTAAATTAAATTTATGGCATTGGATGGTAAATCCTAATCTTTGCGAGTAAAAGAGCCAGTAGGATAAATAAAAGTACCTAGATAATCTAAAACACTCATTTCAGTTAGTAACTGCAATATCTATTTTAATTGTCTTCACTGAGGCTGTTTGGTTGCAGGTGACACAAACTTAAGCTGGCTTAACAAAGAAAGAAAAATATGAGTAAATTATTATATGGATACAGGATTTTTCCACAAATACCTATGGCAGGAATTTCAAAAGGGACTAGATCCAAGACCTGAGAAGCTTCATGTTACCCAATAGTCCCGTCTCTACTCTTGCCTCTGCTTAGTTTTTATTTTTATTTTTTTAAAGATTTATTTTTATTTATTTATGCATACAAGAACTGGGGTGTAGGCCAGAGGTACAGGGGGTGAGAAGACACACCAGAGACAGAGTGGGGAGCAGAACAGACAGATATACTGAAACACACTGCTGAGGGGAGCAGTGGGCAAGACAGGAGAGGTCTGCTGCGGCATGTGGGTTAGCTCCCTCACCTGGGATCGAACTCATGTTGCAGTGGCAGGTGATGGCTTGATAGTGCTAAAACTTTAACCCAGAGCCACCAGGGAGGCCCTTTGCTTAGTTTTTTAAATCTCCTCCAATCTCCTGTCTGATAGTTAGCATTCCATGTCTTTTCTAGTCCTTCTGGTAAGATGGATACTTCATTGTGCATGATACTGGACTAGCTCAGAATATAAATTTTAAATTTTTGAAGGTGAATGAAGGTGTCAAGTTTGAGTCTATTTAATCTTGACTAGAGAAGGTGGGTTCAGGTAATAAGAGACAGTCACAGCTAAATTTTATCAGGTGCTAACTATACTTAGAAGCATTACCTTTACATAGCCTTGGGACGCTCTCTACTTTATCAGAACCTTGAAAGAGTTTTCATAAAAAGAGAATGATTGTGAAATGTCTATGAAAGATGATCCTAAATAATATCTACAATTCAAATGTTTTTCTCAGAGCATGAGAAAATTACATATATATGCATATAATAAACTAACTTAAGCTTTATAATTCACTTCAATAATGCCACCATTGGAATAAGCGCAGGCCTTGGAATCCAAAATACTGCAGCTTTAATTCTAATTCCACATTTAGTAGCAATGTAGCTCAGAAGATATGCTCCTTCACCATTCTGTTCAATTTCCATTTTTTTCTGTTAAATTGTGGTAATACATATTGCATGACATAGTGTACACAGAGTGATTAAGTGCTGCTACCTCTGAAGCATTTAAACATTAACAAGAATTTATGAATGTTTCCCCTATAACAGGGAAATGTTCAAATGGGATGCATATCAGTGGGAAAGGAAAAGTGGAGAGGCAAAGAGTCTGTTTGCCCTGGTGACTATAACTACAATAACATTATTGACTAACAAGAGCCTCTAGTTATCAATTATTGCGTATATTCAGGTGGGAATTTTTCTCAGTGCTTTACATATATTTCCATATATTAGCTGAATACTATTTATTGACCCATTTGGAGGCACAGAGAGTTTAAACAACTTATTGTAGGTCACACAGCTAGTAAGCTGTAGAAGCCAGACTTGAGTCTAGACAATCTGGCTCCAAAGCTCACTAAACACTACTCTATACTGCCCTCGGGCCAACTATATCAGCACATCCTGCCACATGTGTTCCTGAACCAGAGAGGTGTCTGTGCATGTACCCCCCACAGAAAGAAGACAGTGTTTTCAAACTTGCTAGAATCCTCCTTGTTTATTTCACATGCACCCTTTAATGAGGTTACCTCATCAGAATTAATGGATTGTTATTATTTTTGATTGGTGGTATAAATCATAAATTCTGAGATAGTTTGCCTACCACATGTAATCTCAATTTGGAAGGTTTACTTGCAAATGCTCTTAGAAGCACCCATGAATAAACAGGAGTGAAAAGTTAAACCAAGGAGAGATATTTTTGTTTGCACTTTTTTCAAATATATCCAAACAACCAGATTCAAAAGCTTTTCCTGACACCACAAGCAAATGTGTGGGAAAGAATGGCTCATCAGAAACAGCACAGACACAACACGTGGTAATTGGGGAAATTTATAATTGATGCACAACTTCATATTTTTGCCATAGTTTACTTTAAAAGTGTCTCAGAGGACAAAACATTGATAAATGGTGGTGAAGGCTGATGGCTTTTAAGAGAATTAAATGACATGCATGCAGCAGAGGCCCCTGGTTGGCTAAACAACTCCTATTCTCAAGATTACCTTCTTTGGCATTCTCCATTATGGAGGCTAGAAAAACCAAATATTTAATTTCTTGCTTTCCTGTAGCTAGGGTTGACCATGTGAGGCAGTCTGGGCTCCAACAGGTATAAGTGAAAGTCCCCAGGATTCTTCTGACAAATCTTTGCTTTCTTGATACAAAGAACAAGTATCACTGGCACATTCTTATTCTTGTCTTAGATACAGAATAGTGCCTTAAGCTATAGTAGCCATCTTGCAACCACAAGAGAAGGGCCAACAGAATTGGAAATACTGGCTCTAATGCTGTTTGATCTATTACCAACCACGGGCAGTCATTTACCTCTAGAATGCCTATTATGTGAGTAAAGTCACTTTCTATGAAGTTTCCTATCAATACCAAAAACATCGTGGTTGCTAGAACAACATGACTGCAGATATTTCAATGCTGGCACTTATCATTTGTTAATTATACATTATCTATCTTTTCGAAATCCCCCAGAAGTAGGGCTGAAGAAGCATTATTAATCAAGTCACTGAAATAACTTATAGGATACAAAATACTTCAAACAAGCCCCACTTATACTTGATTCCCTAACCATAATAACTATGTTAATGTAACTTCAGTAGCACATCCTTAATAGTAAAAGGAAGAGTAGATAATGCATTATTATTTTTTTAAGATTTATTTATTTATGCATACAAGAACTGGGGTACAGGCCAGAGGTGTGGGGGGTGAGAGGATTCACCAGAGACAGAGTGGGGAGCAGAACAGGCAGAATGACTGAAATACACTACTGAGGGGGGCAGCGGGCGAGGCAGGAGAGGTCTGCTGCGCCATGTGGGTAGCTCCCTGGCTGGGGATCGAATTTGTGCTGCAGTGGCTGCGGATTGCTTCATAATGCTGATACTTAACCCCTTGCACCACCAGGGAGGCCCCTAGATGATACATTATTAACCAAACTTATTATTAACCCATTCAAACAAAGTCTAAAATAATGTACAAAATCATCTTTTATTTTTGGTTTGAACTGTCTCTTTCAATGCTGTAGAGCTAATAGAAGGAACAGTTGAGATCATTTTTTTTTTTAAATAATAAATTTTATTTTTATATTCCCCATACAATTGCAATACCCCCATTCTGACCCCAATCCCTCCCCTCCCGCCCCCCACCCCCCAAAAAGTGTCTCTGGTTCATAGTTTTTTGTTGATTTTGATTTTCGCTTTCTTATAGTTATTCATTTTCCTGGTCCCTTATTTAAGTTTTCTAGATTCCTGCTATGAGTGAGACCATCCGGTATTTTTCTTTTTCTTTCTGGCTTATTTCGCTGAGCATGATCCCTTCCAGCGCCATCCATGTTGCTGCAAATTGCATGTGTTTATCTTTTTTGAATGCTGAGTAATATTCCATGGTATATATGTACCACATCTTCTTGATCCAGTCATCTATTTTTGGGCATTTGGGCTGTTTCCAAAGCTTAGCTATTGTAAATAGTGCTGCTATAAACATAGGGGTGCAGGTGTTCTTTGGAATTGATGTTTCTGTGTCCTTTGGGTAAATACCTA